TTCATTCACTACACTAGCTCATTACTATGGGCCTACTCAGACAGGCTGGCTTTAGACCACCGTTTGGGACTGCCATTGTCCTGTCTTTAAAAGAGAACTACAGTCAACATTGTAAACTAATCCCAAACTACTATAATCAACTATTTTATCTAACTGACGAGATTAAAATGTACATTTTTTGCTCAACAGACATTTTAGTTTGGTCATAGGAGTGAGTCATTGTTTGTATCAGAGTATATTTCAACAGCATATATAGTGTGTGTGTGTGTGTGTGTGTGTGTGTGTGTGTGTGTGTGTGTGTGTGTGTGTTTTTGTGAAGCCTGTTTTTTGTGAATTTTCAAGCACAGGAAATAGCCGGATGAATTCAAACCTTTGCAAATGTTGAAATCAAATTAGTGTATATACATTTATGACAGCATTTTTTCTTGGTGAGATTTCATATGAAGTGTTTGCGGATGTTTTTTTAATCTTCCTAAAACATACATAGAAAAACGTAAGCTGCACTACATGTGGCCTTGTAGTAGTAGCAGCACTATGCTGATTCTTTCTTCTGCCCTCTATTTTGCATTTATTTTACTTTCACTCCACAGTGAATGTATTTGGCGAGGAGTTAGGGTGTGTGTCTATCCGTGTGTGAGAGAGGGAACAAGAGAGGCAGAACGCTTGTGACACTAGTGTTTGTGACTCACGGGGTGAGCATACACTCCATAAATCACAGGCGTTATTGTGCTGCTGAGTGCACACTTTTAAAGTAGGAGGTTGAGAGGTTGAACTGCTGATTTGAACTAGTGAATCACAGCGAGGTCTGTACTCCGGAGGTCAGAGGTGAAATCCTAATAGTTGTGCGTAAGCTCTTTGATCAGACAGTGAAAGTCTGGAGATGGGGCAGTCCTCTCTACTTAATGAGATCATTATTTTGGTTGTTTGACAAGGTGAAATTAGGTTATGCATTATAGTAATAAACTATTTGTGCACAGTCTTTAAATTAAACTGATCATGCAATCCTCCAGTCGAAACATGTTTTAAGGGGGTTCGATGTATGTCTATAGAAAGGCGATTATGACATTATTGAGATAGCTCATTTGCAATATGTATGCTCTAATTTACAGTGACGCATCTTTCTCCTGAAGTTAGCACACAGCAAGCATGTTCAAGTGCAAAGTATTCTTAGTAGCCAGTGGGCCTTTCCATTTTAAGGTCAATATGTTACAAAAAACCCTCATCTGAAACAAGTTCTTCATATCATAACTTGTTATTTTGTGTGAAATATTGCATTTGATGAATTGAACAGACAACTGACCAAATGTTACAATGTTTTATTCTTTTTTGAAATCAATCAATCTAAGATTAAATAGACGTCAGATGTGAAATTGCCATTAACCGATATTACAAATGATTCCATATCTAAAAAACATTTACATTTCAAGGTGTGTAATCTACTAGATTGATTAAAACTGCACTTGCCTTTAAAACAGTGATAAGATGATGAACACAATATTGTTCTTTGGTGTGTCTCTTGTTGTTTGTTGGATGCTTGCATACTTCCCACATATCACATCCCACTTCTCCCTCTTTCTCCATTTACAGAGCAGAGGTTTTTGATGCCGTCTTTAATCGATTAGATGAATCCATGTTGCCTGGCATCTCTCTTCATTGATTCTGATTCCACTTTCCAGGCGTGTTTAGTGTCCCGACTGCATATATGCAGCATGATTTGTCAGCCTTTAAAAGGTCCTGACCCCGACGTGATTTGAACACGCAACCTTCTGATCTGGAGTCAGACGCGCTACCGTTGCGCCACGAGGTCCTGCTGAAAGCTGACATTTGAGAACAGAATCTCGCCAATCATATTCCCCCTGTGGAAATTGTAGCACTCGTAGGAGCTGAAAGCAATCATAAAACACACAGGCACATGTTCTCTCTTTCTCACACACACACTTTCTCACACTCTCCCCCCAGTTTCCTCGAGGGCAAACGTCTTTGTGTGGTCTTTGACAGGAACAGGTAAACCACTGTGGTACAGAGACACAGATAATAGGGTAAGCTATTGTCTGGGCTTATGTCACAAGTGTGTGTGTATGTCTGTGACACAGAGAACAACCTCTCTGTTATCCCTCACCTTCCACAGTAGATCAGATAAGTTGATACCTGATCAGACAAGGGTGGCGTTCCACAATTCATGAATGAATGAGTAAAGCTGACTGGAAGACAATACACACTGGCACACCCTACATATATTCATACAAAGTCTTTTGTATGTATTTTAGTTCTGTTTTTACATCTCCCCTCAGCTTTTTGTCCCACCCCTATAGGTGGCTCAGATTGTCTATCAAAGCTGTACATTTATTAATCAAATCATTCAGTGCTGCCTCATATCCTCTTAGCTTTTCATTAAACATCTTAAAGCCGTTTTATCAACTCAAGGCAATTACAAGAAAATCAGGTCTGGATATAACAGGAGCCTGTTTGTGTCAAATGCATCCCCCCCCCCCCCCCCCCCCCCCCCCCCTCTGGGAATCCTTATTTTGGTTCAGGCGAGAGGCGACGCCTGTGTAAAGCGTCCAGGTGGTAGTGTCTGATGCAGATGGTCACAAAGCAGGTTCGTCATTTCGTCTTCAGCCCTAAAAGACTGACGTTCCTCAGATGTTTGTATTCTTACGGTTGAATTCCAGCTGTGATAGAAATATCAGAAACGCACAGTAAATGTTCCCACCAATTAGCGGACTTATTCACAAATGAGCCCCAGTATAACACATGCTTTGTACTAGGGAGCTTGCAGCTTATTACATCAGAAATATTCAGACATTTGTGTTTTCACATACAGCTGTTACGGGCAGTGTCTATATCATTTCAGGGTTGCAGTGCTTGCATGAAAGGGGTTACTTCCAGGACTTGAATAGTGATGGGGTGTTAATGTGGTCAGGGTCGGTAAAGCCCTTTCTCTCAGATGACACGTGGTTGCACTTGAGATTATCAACCCTATGGAAGCTGTTTGTAGATCTGATGTGGGTTTTGTGCAAAGAACAATGTATTCAAATATATTATATTTCTGTAGTTATAGAGAAATACAGATTTCAAAGCTAAAAAGCTACATAGGTTACTGTTCAAGAGCCAATCTTACGCAACGCAATGATCTAGTAGAGTGCTGAGCTAACACTTGATCAACTCCACAGCTGTCCTCCCTACCCGCTGTTTCTGTACGCTACAGTATTATAAATGTTTGAATGTCACAATGCACTCTTTGTCCTGAGGATCAGCGCTGTCTTTTTCTTTTCAGTCAATTTGTACTGGCTTCCATACTGCATGTTCAACATTTGATTAAGCCCATATGTGTTCAAATGTAAGCTGATACATTTGATGAAAGTTCTTTTCACTTTTTGGTCCTCTTTACCTGCTAAAAAACTCAAAGATTTTCCATTTTAGCAAAAATGTGCTTCAGATTATTCTTTATTTTACAAAAATTCCACTATAAATAGTTGGATATCTTTCTAAATAAATTCTAGGTTTAATAGGGTGGGGGTCAAATGAGGGGATGAACAATTCTTAATATTTGTATGCAAGTTAAGACCTTGGTATTTACAGTATACACAAAAGCATTCAGCCCTACTGCAACCCAATCCCAGAATTCTTCGCTGATACTCTCATAATGAAGAGTCCTTGAACTGATCATTCTTGGCTCGCTGGAGGCCAAAAACAACAACATTTTAACCAAGGCAAATCTAAACATTCAATGTCGAACTTTCCTTCCATCCCCAGTGAAATTCTGGGATTAAGTTATGGGGCTTAGCCTCTCTCAGACTCATATTTGTTCCTCATAATCCATTCGAGGAACAAGTCGGGATGGGGACCAAGCCAAATCTACATGGGGCGTGTTAACATTTGTACATTTAAAGATTTGTTCCCCTGTTTAATGCTGAGGGTCAGTTTGCGGTAGTAAATCACATATAAATTGTGGTGTCATTTTTTCTTATTTACTAACATGGGGAATAGGTAATTGTTCTTTCTGCTTCCAAATGGCTTGTCTTCAAAACGTCCCAGATAAACTTGCCATCTTTTAATTCCTAATAAGCTCAGGAGGAAGGAAATACCAAACCGTGAATCCCCTCATGATTAAGACCATTTTGCCTGGTGAACCACATTGCAGTTCACTACAACAGAGCCATGCATGAAGGCATGTAACCACAAACCCCAAGACGGCTCAGCTTGGAGGAAAAGAGAAAGGAGGAATATAGAGTGAAAACTCAATACAGACAAACGAGTGGGGAGTTACGTTCTTCACATGGCAAAGGAAAATGAGTCAACTTTTTATTTCTTAATATCTAAAATCCAAATGACACATTGCTTATGTAACTGTTCCATTCAAAACTATACTTCTCTATTAAGGCAACTCTGCATAATTGTTCAAAATTGAGTTCAAACTAGCATAACTAGCTCAGCAACATATTAGACTTCACTCACTGAGTTGATTTAGTACTCTACTTACACTACATGCTGTACCTGAATGCATCAAGTTTGCATGAACGATATTCATATGCTGATGCAAAAAAGAGACGGACAGTTTTTGAAGTGAGCAGAGGAGGGTGGAGGCGTGTCACCTTGTATAGCCTACATTGGAATGTATAAGAACTGATAAATGTAACTTCTCCTGTTGTCCCTTTTATCAAATGTTGCTTTTATACTCCCACAATGTATAAGCCATATGCTTACTTTGCAGGCAATCCAGCAGGGGATTAAAATATTTCCTATTTTATAACTGCTTTGATGATGTCAATCCATATCAACGTCAGAGCCTCTGTGTGCCAGCTAACTGGATCATTATACGAACCCTGTGGTGATCGGATCAGCTGATTCCCAAGGAGACGCAAGCTTCTTATTTCTTTGGCCTGGCATACAACATGTTGTATGGCTTTACTTACATAAGGCTTCACATCCTAAGTCTGTATTGTGCAAATAAGGTTGATCTTATGACAGAGCTAATAGTTTCTTTTGTTGTCTTCCAGGACCCCAGCTACTGGATCCAGGTACACAGGTTGGAACATGGAGATGGAGGCATTTTGGACCTGGATGACATGCTCTGTGATGTGGTGGATGACAAAGATAGGGTGAGTCAATGGAGTAGGTGCATTGGAATTGAGAGAGTGTGTTTGCATATTTCATTTATTTGTATATCTCCCCAAACTGTCCTTTTTGCCACCTCTTCACATGTCCATCTCCTCTTTCTTATGCACAACTAGCTTTGGTTACATCTGAAAGCTGAATACTTGCATAAAGCTTTGGCAGTACTACAGATAGTTTCTCTAACATGTGCTTATGATTGCACCTGTATGCTTTTATGCTCTCATCATGACATTACAGAACACTTAACTACTGCAAACCACCATTTTTCTCTGTTTAATCATTCCCACCTCCTGAAAGCCCTCCTTTGTTTTCATACATGGAGGGTTGAATGATACAGCGTTTTCTTCTGTGTTGCATCAAGGCTCCACTTTGATGTGTGTGTGTGTGAGTGTGTGTATTACTATATTTTCAAGTATGAGAGTGTGTGGGCCAAATCTATGTCAAAAGCAGCATGATATCACACTACCCACCCCACCCACTAGACCAACTGCAAATGATTACCCACAATCCCACTGCATCCTTCCCATGAGAACAGTGCTGACTACACCTGAGTCACTAGCCTTTAGCTTTGATGTTAGGCCAGTTAGTGAGCTGTAACCCCTTTGTGTGTCTTTGTGAGTGGGAAATGAGTTAATGATACATATCACATGTGTCACATAAGGATAGTAGTCTACTATTAACACAAAGTAACCCGGTGTAGTAGGAGTTATCTGAGTCCTTCATCACTTCAAAGATGAAGCCCAACCGGGCCATTAAGATGTATTTCTCGAAAAGTGATGAAACATGTGAGTTTCTATTGAAAGTCTTATCTTTGATTCCGATCACTTTTCTCAGGGTGACTTATGTCTTGAAAAATCTTGTGAAATCTGAAAATACATTAAATCATGCCGTTTCATGTTGTGCATTAGATTTCCCATATTTGATGTCTACGTTTTAAAGTTCAGTGTGCTGTGAATTTTTCAGAATAGTTGGATCTGTTTGATATGCAGGTGCTCTTTGGTTGGCTGTTTGTGTCCATTTGTGCATGAATAAAAAATGATGTGTATGAGAGAAAAGAAGAGTATAGTGCATGTGCTTATAATGAATATGTGGTAGGTGCCATGGTTACACATCAGATGGGATCATTGGTGGGAGCAGCTGTTTTGCACCTGCTGTCTAAAACACCCCTTTTCTTCCTTCTCCTATTTTGAACTCTCCTGTCCTCATCCAACTCCAAGTAGAAAGAAAGAAAGAAAGAAAGAAACACAGAAAGACATTTTAGGAATTATGTTGAAAACCACCTACCATATAAATATGTTTTTCTCCCTATCACTATCTTCCAATAGTCTGATACTGTACATATTTGCTCCCCCTGGTGGTTGTCTGGCGTCTTTACATCCCACTGATACCATTGGATGCTGAAATATTAGCCTAACCAAACAATTACAATAACAGCTGATTTGTTAATACTTGTAAATGACTCTCATGAGAATTGTTTTACAGTGATACTATAAAGGTTATCTTACAGCTCTATCTGTATTATAGTGTCAAACACTTGCCAATATCAGACAGCCTTAAATCATAGTGATTATACAGTACAGTCATCATGACATACTAACACAGTTTGTAGTTCACTTCAATGACACAGAGTGGTTAGCTCAGCTGGATCTGTGCCGAGGCCCGAGACAACTAACTTTACACTAGTGGAATCACCGTCTGCCTGTGTGTGTGTGTACACGTATGATGTTATCTCAGTGTGTGTGGGTGTTTGCTTCTTTGTATGTGTGTGTATGTCTAGTTGTTAGTAGTAAATCCAGTCCGTCCAGTTCTTTCCATGAGCTATTTTCTCTTGCCCAGTCAAACTCTACTGCAAGCAGGAACACAGTTAGGATGTCAATTTTAACCCCTTCATGACAAAACTGTTGTTTTTATTATGGATGTAGTACTTTCACATGCTTCCTGGGGTGTGCTGCGACAAGATTGTTGTTGGTCTGCTGCTTTTGGAAATCTATGAACATTTGTGTTTTTGATATTTTTGATCCACATTTTGTTGCCTGACTTGAGCCTGGTGATAACACTTTACCCTCAATGTTATAAGAGTTTACAATGATCATAAAACAAAGAATCCATTTAGCCATAACATGCCAAAGTTAGAGCTGTCAACTATAAGTATAGTCATTTCAAATTGACATTGGCAATTTATGCATTGCATTTTGTGTACTCAAGCTATGCAATCTTTTTCCAAGTAATTCATAATCACTTGCGTATCCTGCTTTCTGTATTTTGATAGCAGAGCTGAACAGTTCTTTTCTTAAACTTTTGTGTAATTTCTTCTAACAGATAATAGCACACACTCAGTGGAATATATGCAGTCCTTAAAATGGGTTGACCTCGACGTGATTTGAACACGCAACCTTCTGATCTGGAGTCAGACGCGCTACCGTTGCGCCACGAGGTCCTGCATCTGACCTTGGCCTACCCTAGCTTTGACCTTAGTCTCTGACCTGAGTTGACATTGCTGGTGTACAGAACTATTGCTTGTTGCAGTTTCCTTCCGGTCCTCTTACTGTCCGCCTACAGTTCTGTTTCTATTGTCAATGTGGGCCTTGCAGCTACAGATGAGCAGCACGGACATACAGTAGTTGTTTTTGTCAGCTTTCAGGCAAACAAAACCTACCATAGGTTGGTCAGAAGTTCCTTTAATATTATTTACACTTGCAACCATTTCAAATAATATAATTTCAACTGAGTTGTAGGTTTGTGCTGGTAAACTGCCATTTCGACCATTCAATTGATGAAAAGTTTATTTTTCAATCAAATAAACTATTATTTTCCCCATGTGTGAATTTAATAGAGTACACATATGAGAAAAACGAGCAGAGTGGAGTTAATGTAAAAACTGCTGTTGTCACTTTGCACATTTCAGTCAATCTACCGTTGGGAGCACCAAAGCCAAGCATGCGTTTGTGCGTGTCCGTGTTTGTGTGTGTGTGTGGGTGAATGTCTGTGCATAAGGTATGTGAAATGTCTGGCTCAGGTTCAGCAGTTTGATTATCATGCTGTGATTCATATGCAGTCATAGAGCGGCATGCTGCAGCCTGTCTGTCTCTGCTCCACAGATCTTCACATTGAAGATGTCATTGTGATTTCACATGCTTGTGGAATATTATACGGGTGTGTTTGTACAGCAGGCTAGTTTTTGTTTTGTGTTGCAGAAATGTTGCTTTCTGCCGTTATAATGTTTGTTATTGTAAAAGTGAGCTATATGTATACAGCCTACATTTATTTCCTTGTATAGATATTGATGAATGCTGCTCACATATAGGCTCAGATCACAAAAGTCTTGGAGATGCAGTTGTTTCTCTGAGCTGCCTTATTTAGATAGATTGAGTATAATGTCCTGATATTACCTTGCCACCCTGGCTTTTTGGCTTGCTACTGCCACCCTTTGGACTAAACAGTGAAGTAAAACTAAGAACAAATACATATTTCTAAGCTAGACCAGTTGATTGTATAGAAACATATTCTGCTTGACTATTTAAGCCTTAATCCACGGGTTACATTGTTAAATCGGTTATGAGAGCCAATGTACATTATATTATACTCCAATTTCAAATACTTTTCTGTGACCTTTTCTCTTTGCTATACACATGCTAATGCTAAACAGAGCTTTATAGGGACCTTGGTGATCTGATGGATATGTCTTCGAATTACATCAGGATCAAATGTTTTCCTGAGAAGACAAATGATTGGGTTTAAAAATCAGTTCTTAATGTCGTCCATATTGGTGTCTCGCAGGTAGTGGCACTGTGTGAAATAGCATGTCATTGTCAGGGTCAGGGATAACAATACAAACACACTAGCTATGTACTATGATTATTTCACTGATAGAAGAGATATTATAGACTATAGGGTGTTACTTGAATAGCAACACAATGATGCTTTGAATAAAGGTTTTGGATTTTCATAATAAGTACACCAAGATGCCATGTCAAGTTTTGGACCTTAATGTTTTTTTCCTAACAAAGCCACATGAATAAAATGTAATAAATGAAGTATTTTACAGAACACTAGAGAATGCACTTCCTGTCTAGTTTCATACAGACAGCTTTAGATACACACATGCTCATTTTAAATTAGACTATCAGCAGGCCTGAATAAGCCTCTAGCCAAAAACTCAACCTCATACAGTCAGTCAAAAGAGGAAAGGAACTGTAAACTTTATTCTAGCCCAAGAGCCTTAGGTAAGACTTGTGAAATACATTTAGTGTGGTGGGAATGGCTTTGATACAGACACTTCATCCATACACCAGATGGCAACGTGGCAATTAAAATGACTCCTGGTTAGGAGATGGCCTGAGGTAAGATATTCACAATATGGGTCTGCTGAAATGAGCTTATAAAGGAATGAAATGGGTCTGATAGTGCCAATTAGATCAAATTAGATCCAACTTTAATGGTCATTGCAGGGAAATTGGGCTCTTGCATTAGCATTTAAAACGGTATATAAAACTTCAAAACTGTTATTGTTGTGCAAGACAAACTCATTGTCTGAAACAAATGTGAATACTTTTCTACTTCCTGCAATTTTGGTCATATTTTTCCTGTGCAACATACAGCCCTCTTTCATAAGGTAAATACAGGATTACATTTAGAGTAAGGGTAACACACATTTTTTTAAATACCAACCTATATTACTCACAAAGATTGAGGATGTCTGCTTTTAATGATGGCACATCCAATAGAAGTGATGATAAGTGTGATGAGTTGTGACTCTTTTTTAGTGCACTGTTTTTGTTCCTATCTCCCAACATGTTAAACCCTTTATACTAGACTGAGCCTCATCCAAATGGTTAGATTGCTTAGTGTGCAAGTTGCCATCTAGATATTTAATCTAAAAAGTACTTGATAACATGTTTTGAGGAGTGGGTCCCTTTAGTGTGTGTTGTCTGGATCGACCTATAAACGGAGATGAGTCAAAGCAAGCCTGTCCCGTGGGCTTAAT